CAAACAACCAGTGATTCAATCAGCTATGATTACTTTTGTTGAGACCAATGGAAAACTTGATTCTTTCCACAGGGAGTCTCAAGAGATAAGGGTTTACACTACATGGTTCAGTTTCTTTTCTCTTTATTCCACCCCTATTTTGGTAGGCATTTCAGCTGATTCACTATCCATCAGCTTTAAAGACATCTGTTTATCTATATATAGGCCATTCACCACAGATCCATTTAGAAACAAATGCTATGTTACACTTCTAGATTTCAATAGCACCGAAGGTATAAAGACTCATACATGTACAGAAATAGGTATCTTTCTCTTTTTTTTTTTTGTTTTGGGCTGTGGAGGGAGGCATCTAAATGATAAAGTACAGTACAGTAGATTACATCACATTTCTATCTAGACTCTCCCTGATCTAGCACTGTCTGTAAAAATATCATTTGCACAGTTTTAAATCTTTGCTGGCGAGGGTGGCTATGCATATACCTTTATGTCTGTGAGTGATACTCCTGATTTGGGTACTTGCCACAGTGAATACAGAACATAGGACTCTTGAATTATTTATGGAAAGTAAGTTATTAAATGACTCCTAAGAGGAGTAATCCCTAAGGTCTAGAAACAAAATGGTATTTTGTTTAAAGTACTTAAAATTGAGAGGAATTAAGATAGACTAAGGAAAGGGAAATGTCTGTAAACAGCCATTTCTTCATATTTGAAAAACTTCGATGGATTACTACATATATACACACAGTCAAGCAGATAAATTACAAAATAAAATGAAGTAGAAATTGGTTACTATAAATCTGAGTTTATTGCTTTGTGTCTTTTTAACAAACATTATTACAGTTCACGGGAAGAGGGTCATGCAAGGAGACTTCAAAAAGTTCTGAGAAAAATTTAATTGTTTTTCATTCTATTTTTCTGTGAACTTTCTGAAACCTCCTCACATAAAACCATGCGTACCAACAATCACTGTAGCTGTTCCCACAACAACACTGATAGATACTAGGTAAATTCTATTATTTGAGTGGGAAACTTGGCCATATTTCAGGTAAGCGGGATTTATTAATAGAAGGCATGAGATGGAGTTTTCAGATAACTAAACTTTAATTTCAATTAGATTTAGAAATAGGAAAGGTTTTCTGGATACTTTCCTCTTTGAACAACGGTCATACAAAGGAGCACAACAGAGCTTTACTGTGCGCCCCATAAAAACTCAAGTCAAAAATGTATTAAAGAACAGTGTAATAGTTTTCATAGACATGAAGGTCTGCTTTCATCAGTCAAGATGTTTTTCAATCAGGGAGCTTGCAGAATATTTCTTAAGGCCCTATCTGCACATGGCTGTGCTTAGGAGGGCTATTGATTAATGTTTGAAAATTATTTTTAGATAATAGCCATGGCTTTCATTAATTACTGTTTCTTTGAAGCATTTAAGCTCATTGAATTGTATAAGGTTTCCTTACTGTCTGAAATCAGATGAGTTTGTTTTTATTGTTTTCTAACAGCTCATCTTACAGTGGGCCTTAGAAACACTTAATACTTTGGAGACCCAGAGACCTGGGAATGAAGCTCAGCCCCAGCCTTCTGGAGCTTTGTGAGCTAAGGCAGATTGTTCCATGCCTCAGTTTCCTCGTCTGTAAAATGGAGATCGTAACTGTACTGTCCTCATAGGACTTTTAATTTTTTAAAATTGTTTTTGAGGGTTAAATAAGTTTAAAAGCATGTCAGTCATTTAACACAGGTCATGATATATAGTAACACTCATTAACTCCTAACTAGTATAATTTTCTATCATTATGATAATTGTTGTTTCTGATAATGTGCTTATTATTCTGAAATCAAGCTCCTAGAACGTATTTCACTGAGGTTGATCACCTGAACTCCTTTGACTTAGGATTCCCCATCTGTCTCACTAGAGAAGGAACCCAGGTGGTCACTTCTTACACCTGTTACTTCATTATGCTTTAGGAAGCCTCTGGAGAAGCAGAGGAGTAAGGAGCCCAGGTTGTGAAATAAAAATGCTTCTGATCAGACCCTTGTTCCACCTCTAGTTAGTGAGATAACTGAAGGTAAATTACTTAACACCTCTACGCATCAGTTTTCTTATCTGTAAAGTGAGATTAATAACACCTCATCTGTTGTTGTTGTTGTTGTTGTTGTTACAGAGGAGAGGCTGGTGAGTTTGAACTGCAGACTTTGTGGTTCAAACTGACCTTGCAGTCCAGTGCTTTGTCCCACAGTGCCGCGCCATCTGATGTGGCGCTATAGGACAAGCACTGGACTGCCAACCACTAGGTTCGTGGTTCAAACCCACCAGCTGCTCCTCAGAAACCCTGTATGAGTCGGGATCGGCTTGATGATACTTAACAATAGCAAATAGTCTCCATAAAGGAGCCCTGGTAACACAGTGGCTAAGCACTCGTTTGCTAACCTAGAAATGTGTTGATTCGATTCCACAAATATCTTTGCAGGAGAAAAGACCTGGTGATTGCTGCCGTAAAGGTGGTTGTTGTTAAGTGCTGTCAAGTCAGTTCTGACCCATAGCAACCCTGTATAGGGTTTCCAGGGAGCAGCTGGTGAGCTTAAACCACCAGTCTTGCAGTTTAAACCAACTTTGCAGTCTGACGCATTAGCCCACAGTGCCACACCAGGACTCTTGTAAAGATTATAGCCTAGGAGACCTCAGGGGCAATTTTACCCTGTCCTACAGGGTCAGTGTGAGGTAGAACAACCACTCTCTGTAGAGGTCTTCAGAAGATTTAAATGAGTTCAAAATTAAAGTACTAGAACATTGTCTGACAGGATACATGCTCAGTAAGTGCTAGCTGTTTGTGTGGCTGTTGGTGTTCTTACCTGAGGTACTGTAGGGTAAGCATTGGACAACTAACCACAAGATCATGCATTCAGACCCACCAGCTACCCCCTGGAAACGTTGTACAGGGACACTAGGAATCAGACTGACTTGATGGCACTCTATAGCACCAGCAGCGATTTGTGCTGTAGGATAAGCACTGGACTGCTAACTGCAAGGTCAGCGGTTCAAACCTACCAGCTGCTCCTTAGAACCACTATACAGGGTTGCTATGAGTCAGAACCAATTCAATGACACTTAACAACAACAGTTTATAAACTAATGATATCTAATTTATCAGGCTGTCCGTGCCATCACTTTGAGATCCAGTTCACAAAAAACAGTTTTCAAATGCTGTGTTAGTGCTGTGGAGGGCATGTGGCACTTACTCCATAAGCCTTCAAGTAGGGGCCTTGTAGGTCACAACCAAAGAGTCTCCTACTGCCCTATTATTTGCGTTTTCCACCCACACAGCAGATTTTCAGAAAGGCCCCCAAGAACGGCAGAACTGTAACAAGGTTCCTGCCTGCCTCTCTGAAGGTCCAAAGTAGAATTTGTCTTTCTCCTAAAATCCTAACCCACTTTCCAGCTTTCTTACTTCTCTGGTGGTGATGGTGTGCCATTGAGTCAGTTCCAATTTAAAGCAACCCTGTATATATTGTTTCCAAGGCTTGACAGGAACAAAAAGCCTCATCTTTCATTAAGGGCATATAGCAATAAGGTATATTCCCTGCCCTCTAAGGAAAGGAGAGACTTTTTAATGTACTTTTCATGGCCAGTAAGAGGCTCGCAGGAGTTGTAGAATATTTCTGGATGGTGGGAAGCCAGTAGGAAAGTCAGATGAAGAGAACATTTCCCGAGTACCTAGCCAGCCTAGATTAGGAAGAATGAGATGAGACACACACACAGCAAAGTGAAATAAAATTAGTAAGGCAGGAGCCTGAGGAGTGGAAGAGGTGAAGGTGTAGTTTTGAAATGTTAACATTGGTTAATACTTGGGAACCTAGTGAAACCACCAGAGAGAAGTAAAAAGGCTGGAAAGTTAGGGTTTTAGGAGAAAGACAAGTTCTATTTTGGACCTGCAGAGAGCTAGGCAGGCTGCAAATCAAGACTGTAGTCGAAGCTTCAGCCTTGCTGTGTTTCTGCTGTTCTTAGAGGCCGTTCTGAAAAGCTGCTGTGTATAGGTGGAAAAAGCAAATGTTAAGACACTAGGGTACTCCTCAGGTATGACTTACAAGACCCCAACACTTGAAGGCGTATCGTGTAAGTGTCTTTCCTTGGGCAGTCAGCACCCTACACTTTCTTCCCTGGCTCATTTCTCACTTGGTTTCTGAGTGCCTAGCACTGCCATTCTGTGTGGTGTATAGTTATAACCCCCATTTGAAATAGAGATAATTGATTTTAACTTAAAAAAAGAAAAAAATCCCTATTAAGTTTTTCCTTGAAGCAGTGCTACCAGAGTGGAAATGGGAGAAACACCCTTCACCCTGCCCTCGCCCGGATGTACTTTGAATCGAGTAGTGTGGTTGTTTCTCCTCAACTGAAAAAAAAAAGTTCTAGGTGAAGGAGTGAGAGGAAGACAAGAGCTTTATGTATTAATGGGAGAATCATTACTGATCTAGAAAAATACATTGCTTGGTGAAAACAGGTATTCTTTTTAGACCAAAAGAAAAGATTTTACAAATAAGCAGCATTTCCGTATCTGTGTGAGTGGCTGTACCATTCATGATATTCACACAGGACTAATCATTTGCCTCTACCAGGAAGGAAGTATGGGGCTTCTAGATAGATGCTGGATCGTGCTCTGAATTATGGTATTTTCTTGGAGTTAATAAACATGGGTGTGTTTCTGGTCTTGGGAGGAGTACACAGTGTTGTAGGAGGCTTTGAGCAAGAGGCAAGACTTTGGTACTTTGTGGATTGTTATCGCCCTGCAAGACCCTTCGCAACTTCCTCTCGCCGCCCACAGCAGAATACGGAAACCCTGCTGTATGGGGTTACTTCTGCAATTACTGACAGCCGCTATTAGGGAACCCTTCTTCCACACTACACTCCTGTGTTGTTTTTGAGGTATTCTTTGCATTTGAAAATGTATCTTTGGTGGTGGTGTGTCCGGCTGACCCATCTCTCCTCTCTCTTTGCTGCCCCTCAGTGCTGCAGTTGAAGCTCCAGCAGCGCCGGACCCGGGAGGAGCTGGTGAGCCAAGGGATCATGCCGCGTAAGTGCCGCTCTCAGTGAACTCACAAGTTGCTTAGAGGACAGGTTGTGGATGTCCAGTGTGCCAGGAAACATATCGCATAAAACACACAGCGTGTGTGCTTTGTGACTGTTTTCTTTCTCCTGCTATTCCAAGCTCAGGCACTCTTGATCACTAAATACGCGGGGACTTCAAAAAAAGTTCATGAAAAAATGAAATTGAAACATGATAGAATTTTTCCATGAACTTTTTGAAGCCCCCTTGTTGTAGTTCAGATACTGGCCTTACTTGATGAAGTTCCGAGAAACAAACAGTATTAGGGCTAAAGGGTGTGTCTTGGTTCTCTAGTGTTGCTGTAATAGAAATACCACAACTGATGGCTTTAACAGACAGACATTTATTTTCTCATCATGTAGTAAGCTAGAAGTCCGAATTCCAGCCATAGGAGAAGACTGTCTCTCTCTGAGGAAGCCCCTTGACAATCTTCCTGTGACCTGGCAGCTCTTCCCCATCTCTAAAAACACACCTACATGGATACTGCTTATTTAGTATAGCAAAGACTACCCATTCCCAAATGGGGTTACAACTGCAAGCATAGAAGTTAGGATTGACAACACCATGTTTTTGTGGGGAACATAATTGAGTCCGTAACAGGGTGCCATTTGAATCATCTTTAACTTTCAAATTGCATCTTTTAAAAGAGTTTCTACACCCTGTTAACACTTCTCCTTTATAGGAGGGGGCAGATCTTAGCTGGGTCATGGTGCGGAAGAATCTACTTCTTCCCTAAGCTTTGCCTAGTGTTCAAGTTCTTGAGGAGAGAAAGCTCTTTCCTTCCTGATGCTTTGAGACAAGCACAGCTGTGTTGTAAGTGAGACTCTCCAATGTCCTGAGGCTGGTACAGGTGAGGGTAGGGTCCTTGATGGGGTTATCCCAGGCTAGCCTCAGGGTGTGCAGAACTGCATCACTTGGGGAAATGAAACTAGACTGTAGGATCTGGTGGAACTAGAAAATTTTGCTTATAGTAATACCAACAGCATTACAAACTAAGGAGAAACTGGAACCAGCACTGAAGTCATCGGCAGAGAGCATAGGTTCTCCCCTTTTTCCTTCTCTGTTTGTATGTCCTTGTCACCTGGAAACACCCGAATGAAGTCAAAGAGCCATGTCACAGCTGTAGTGGGAGCTCTGGTACTTCTCACCTTTGCTCTGCCTGCTGGCCTGCTGCCCAGAACTCATTTATTTACTCATTCATTCAAAGTGTAAGAGTACTAATATGTGCCAGTTTATACAGCAAGGTAAATTTGGGCCCTCCTTTCAGGAGGTTTATATTCTAAAGGGAAAACCTGATAATAAACAAGAAAACAAGTAAGATAATTTTTTTGTTGTTAAATGTTACCATGTCAGCGCTGACTCATAGTGATCCTGTGTAGGGTTTCCAAACTGGTGGGTTTGAACTGCCAACTGGGTGGTTAGTAGTCCAATGCTTATCCTACAGCACTATACCAAGATAATTTTGGTGTTGTTGTTAAGTGCTGTTGAGTCAGTTCCAACTCATAGCGACCCTGTACAGGGTTTCCAAGGCTATAAATCTTTACGGGAGCAGAAAGCCTCATCTTTCTCCCATGGAACGGCTGGTAGTTTCAAACTGCCGACCTTGAAGTTAGCAGCCTGATTTGTAACCACTGCGCTACCAGAAGATAAATTTAGAGCATAGTAAATGAAGTAAATGGACTAGTTGGTTTGTTAATAAGAAATAAGAATGAGATGGGAGATCACTTTGGATAAGATGGCTCAGAAAGACCTCTCTGAAAAGGAAATATTTGAATTGAGATCTAGAGGAGTCAGACCCTCAGAAAACAGGTCGATGTCCCAGGGAGGTGGAAAGGAAAGAGCTTGGCATGTTTGAAAAGCATCAAGAAAGACAGTGTGGCTGGAGCATATGGGGTAAGAGGAGAGTAGGGCAAGGTAAGATGGACCAGAGTGAGGGCCTTTCAACCACGTGGTGAGAAGGTGTGTTTATTTTATCTTAGGTGCAATGGAAAGCCTTTAAAAGCTTTTAAGCAATTGAAGATGGAATTTCCTTCATGTCATGGTAGTGTTAGGTCCATTTCTAAATCTTAGAACCTTCTAGCAAGATGTAAGGCGTCTGAGGGCTGTCTGTATCCTGAGCTTCAGCCAGGGAACGTAGGTGTCAGGCTCATCTTCGGTTTACTGCAATTCACTGTCAAACCATTTGCCCAGCCTACGCTGTCTTCTGCTGTGACCATCCAGGGTAGGGGTACCGTGCCCTTCCTCCCTGCCTTTACAGTATCGGATAGAACACTCAGCTTGTGTTGGGGGTTCAGTAATGTGATCAGGCAGGGAAAGGCTTTGCTTTACAGTAGACTCCAGATTTGCTGATATACAAACCTTTGTAGGGGAATGAGTTGCCCAGCATCTCTCCAATTACCTCTTTCACCAAGGATATTATGTATTTAGCCTTTACCCAGGATAGCACTAGATGCTATAAGAGGTTAAAGAAACATAGGGCATGGTAATTGGCCTGAAGACACTTACAATTTATTTGGTTAGCCAAAAATTCCTTACACACATGATAAAGGGCAACTCAGTGTGGATCTGTAGATGCTGACAGTAATTCCAGTCCTGGTTCTGAGAGCATGATGTTATTTCTCAGGATCTCAGTCAGCATCTAAAAGGCTTGCCCAGGCAGCAGTGCTCTGCCTTCTTTTCCCTGTCTTTGATCTAATAACAGAAGCTTCTGTGGATGAGTGTCACATAGGATTTGTTGATTTATACTCTCCTTGCTTAGCATTTCTTGTAGTATTACCTATTGTTAAGACAGATATTGCTTACATTATTGCAGCTCTGTACTTTCATGTTTATCTATCCAGCTGGATCATGGACTCCTTGAGAAAGCAGCTTATTTATATTTCTGACCCCAATGCCTGGCACTGAATGAATGAATGAAGACAGCCAGTTGTAAGGTGTGATATGTGTGTGTGAGAGAGAAAGAGACAGACGGACAGATACAATCTGTTGCCTACCTGTTGGAATTCTAGACGTGGACTTTGAATGGAAGCTCCCATCCTGCTAGGAGCCTGGATTTTAAAACTGCTCTCAGGATCTAGATGTGTATACTTTCAAGTTGTTCTCAGTATCTGTAAAGTGAGAAGCATTGACATTCCTACAAAAAGGGAAGTGGCCTGCTTCTGTGGGAACACCACCTCTTCCCACCTACCAAGAACCACCTTCTGCTTCGAACACAGTCTTGTTTTTAATCTTCTCTAGTGAAGGAAAACCAAGGGTTATGTGTTGGGCTGCTAACTACAAGGTCAGCAGTTTAAATCCAACAGCTGTTTCCCCAGGAGAAAGATGAGGCTTTCTGCTCCCATAAAGATTTACAATCTTGGAAATGCTACATAGGGTCACTGTGGTCACTGTGGTTGCTGAGTTGGAACTGACTCGATGGCACACAGTCATCACCATCACCACCACCAATGAAGGAACCAGGTAGAAAACACTTTGATTGACACAGAGAGTGTTGAAACGTGGGAATAGTTTTAGGTATGATACTCTCTGCTTGTTTACATAACTTGTGTTACATGAATATAGGGTCCTGAGGCACCCCCCCAAAGATGAGACTCATTTTCTCTTTGCCAGCCCCCCAACCTGTGAGTAACCCAGCCTCCTCACCACTATCTATCTCCCCTACCTCATCCTATAATCTCAAATCATCTCTTTCCCCACATCTCTTATCACACTGCTATCTTCCACCACCCTCTCCCGCCACTCTGTATCTTTCAAAGAAAATGTGAACAGTGCTGGGGAAATCATAGTGGTCGGAAAATCGTTGTTGGCGTTTTGGAGACCTGAAAAGAAATAACGTCTGGTTTGAGTGCCAGCTTTAATGCCATTTACTGGCCTGAGGAATTTCTGAAAAGAACCCTTAACTTCCTTCAAGCTGAGGGAAAGGAGAATATATGCTCTTTCATCATGTCTGTGTTGATATTTTTTATCAAATTCTTCTCATCCTAAGCCTTTTTTCTAGCTCTGGGAAGAAACAAAAACCTCCCACTTTATTTCCCAAAACACTTACACACTGTTTCCAAGTAGGAACTGACTTTAGTTCTGATACCGGATCTGGAGGATGAGAGGTGCCTCGGTGGCTCACTTGCCTTCAAGTCTCTTCCTATCATCCAAAGTGGAGATACGGTATTTCCTTGAAGTCTAGGAAACTAAAGCATCCGCCAGTTCCTGTGTGCCTGTCTTTGCTGCTTGACATGCTCTGCCCGTGGCATCTGTACTGAGTATAGAAGTTGGTGTCTGATGTGCTGTTAAAGAGGATCATTTCCCAGTATCTACTGTTCTATCATGCAAATTTATGTCTCAAACGTAACACCATTTAAACTCTACCAAATACAGAATGCCAGATAGCAAAAGATTACACATTCCAAGCCCTTAGCTTTCTCTGATGAGGTCTGAAGTTTGACATATCTTGAGGGAGTGAAATTGGAAGAGGGGAGATGGCACAGTTACGGCGCTGACCTTTAAATCCCAAGATTAAGGCCAGGAATGCCTCTGTGTCCAGGATAACTCCCGTAGCGGAGATGGGTCCTGTGCAGTACACATTGTTCTCAGAGTATCACCTGCGGCCTTTCACGTTGACATTTAAAGGTGTGCAAGGTTCTAAGGTTAAGGTGAAAATCAAGAAGAACGTTCTGTCAGCAGAATCAGTTGCAGTGAGATAACCTTTTTTTTTTAATGTTTTATTGTGAATTATATGATAGTTTACATGGGAGAACTTTAGTTTTACGAGATAACCTTTTAAAGGAAACCATGGAAGTCTTCCTGACAGACAATGAGAAAGAAGACTCCTGTAATCTGTCTAGATGTGAGAAGAGAACCCTGTGTGTCTCTTCCTCCTTGGCATTTTGTCATGTTATTGAAAATCCTTGAGAGGAGGCATAGAGCAGCATGTTTCTGATCCTACACTTAACCTCAGTCCACTCTTTTTCCAT